TTCTCCAAAACTGAGTTGGATTCCCCAACAGGGCAAACCGTATGGCCTGTCCTAAGCAGTAATTCATTCCGCGCGCGAGGGCAGACGGTCGACGCGAGTGTTAGAACTGATCCACTCCGACGGTGAACCCCGTGAGCAAGAACGGTGACACCTACTTCGTTACGTTTATCGACGATTGGAGTCGGTTCACGGTGGTTTATTTGATGAGTTCCAAGGATCAAGTGACGAGTAAGTTCAAGGCATACGATGCTTACGCGTCGGCCAAGTTTGGCAGCAAGATTTGACGGTTCCACTGTGACAATGGCGGAGAATACAGAGCAAGCGCGTTCCGAAAGTTCTGTGAAGGTAGGGGAATACAGATCGAGTTCACGGTTCGCTATACGCTGGAACAAAACGGCGTCAGCGAGCGCATGAATAGAACGCTTGTGGAAAAAGCTAGGCTGGAGGATCCCGGAATCAGCAAGGAATTCTGGAATTCGGCGATGCAGACTGCGGCTTTTCTGACGAACCGAAGTCCAGCGAGGGCGCTCGAGTCGAAGAAGACCCCACTCGAAATTTGGGAAGGCCGCAAGACGGATGTGAAGAAGCTGCGGGCGTTTGACTCGGATGACGTGACGTATTCATCGGGTATTCTCACAATGGCTACCGCGTGTGGGACCCACGGCGGAAAACAGTTGCTATCGTGCGTGATGAGATTTTCGTTGAAACTGGTGGAGTTTCCACCGGAGGAGGAGTTTCTGTTCTGGACTGTGGTTCAAGTCACGATAACGTGAAATCGACGAAGAATCTGAAGCTGACAGTGAGCTTGCTGCTGAAAATAATGCGGATGAGGACAATTTCGATGGTAGCTCACAGGATGAATGGCGGCAGCAGAATCGCAAATGCAAGCGGTCGCAATGTGGTGAAAATACACCGAGACGGACACCATGGCCGCAGCGAGAGTTCCGGCCTCCAGCGTGGCAGCAAGATTATAAGATGGATTACATCGGATTCGCTCTGAGTGCAGCGAGTTGCGTAGAGAATCTGCCAAGCACGCTGTCCGAGAAAATGGGAAGCAGCCTTTCACGAGCTGCAAGCTTTGGAGAAGAACAACACTTGGTCGTTGACGAAGATCCCGCAAGGTCGTGTCCCGATTACATGCAAGTGGGTGTTCCGACTAAAGCGGAGTGAAGACGGCGAAGAGGATCGCTACAAAGCCAGGCTAGTAGTACGAGGATTCACGCAAAGGTATGGCTTTGATTACTCGGAAACTTATTCGCCGGTTGCGAAACTCGACACACTTCGCACTGTTCTGGCTGTAGTTAACCATGAGGAAATGGCAGTCCAGCAGATGGACGTTAACACCGGCTTCTTGAACGATGCGATATCGGAAGAAATTTTCATGGTTCAGCCGGAAGGTTTTGCGTGTTGCTTGAATCGTTCGCTGTACGGCCTGAAACAGGCCTCCAGAGCATGGGACGAGCGGTTTCATCGCTTTGTCGAGAAGCTGGAATTCAAGAGAGCTGCAAGTGACCAATGTCTGTATGTGAAGCGAACCGCGAACGGGCTCATCCCGACATCAGGGAGGTAAGGAGCTTCCTTGGCATGAAAATTGAGCGAGACGTCGAAAATAGACACCTGCGGATTAGCCAGCGCGCTTTTCTGGAAGATCTGTTGCAGCGGTTCAACATGCAAGACTGGAAGCCGATTTCAACGCCAATTGAGTGTCGCTTGCGGTTGCTGAAAGGCGAGGAGTGCCATCGGACGGAGAAGTCGTACCGCGAGTTGGTCGGGTGCCTCATGTACGTGACATTGACATCGCGGCCCGATCTCTGTGCTGCGGTCAATTTTTTTAGCCAATATCAATACTGTCCAACGGAGGACCTATTACGAAGACAATCAGTCAACCATCAAAGTAGCAGAGGACGAAAGAGGCACGGGTCGTATGAAGCATGTAGGGGAAAATGGTATACAACGCACCCCCTGGGCAGAACGCACCAACTGACTTTCATTTGTGTTTTTCATGGCTTTTACGTAACTTTTTTGTTGTCTTATCAAGCAGCACTTCTAGCATAGCATCTGAACTCAAAATCCTGCATGATAAATCCTTGAATTGGATTAAAAATTCCAAGAAAAACTCAAAATAAAATGAAAAAGTGCGTCTTACCCCGGGGGTGCGTTATGTACTTTCCTCCCCTAGATGTGAAGCACCGCTTCGTGCGTTAGCTGATTCAGCGAGGACTAGTTGTTTTGCGCTACAAACCGACCGCTGAGAAACTTGCAGATGTCATGACCAAGGGATTATCACCAGAAGTGTTCCAGCGACATCGAGCAAGCCTTGGACTGGTGGTCTCCGGGAATTGAGCGAGGGTATTGAGGTGGACAATCCCATAGGCACCCCTTCGTTCGACCTAAGCAGCGAACCCCCCTATGTGCGCATCTGTCATCAGCGTTGCCAATAGCAACATCAGTAAGGGTGGTCTGATCTAGATCCAAATTTATGTCACATTTGAAACAGCTAAAATGAAATAGATCAAGCTAAAATAGATCAAACTGCGTGCGTACGCACCGGTTGGTCTAGTTTTGGCCGTTCTATTTCAAACGTCAAAACCCGAGCAAAGTCAACCATTTTTTACCGCGAAATTGACCTCTGATGGTCGTTTCCGGGTGAGATATGTAGCTTTAACAAAAAGCCTTGAACTGTTCGTCATTTTTAAAATTGCTTCCCAGTAAAATAATAATAAAAACCTGTATTTATCCACCTATGGTCGAATGTAATTTTTCTCACATGATGTCGTATGTTGCGTTTTGGCTCATGTCAGAAACTGGCCACTTCCCTGGGGGTTCCTGAAAAATGCCCGAAAGTGGGTAAAGTAGTCATGGGCACTATATTTGACTTCCATTGATCTTGTTTTTGAATTCAAGTGTGATTTGCTGTGTTGCATGATGGGTTTTGGGTCAAATCAGAAACTGACCATTCCCCTGGAGGAACCCGGAGCATACCCTGAAGGGGCCAATATGGTCGTGGGCACTATTTTTGACTATCATTGATTTTGTTTTTGAATTTATATGTGATTTGATGTGTCGCGTGATGGGTTGTGGACTATGTCAGAAACTGGCCACTTCCCTGGAGGTTCCCGTAATATTCCTGGGTACTTTATTTGATAACCATTGATCTTGTTTTTGAATTCTCATGTGATTTGATGTGTCGCGCGAAGGGTTTTAGATTAATTCAAAAACTGGCCACTTCCCAAAGGGCTCCCAGAACATGCCCTGAAGTAACCAAGGTGATCCGGGGTACTTTATTTCATTACCATTGATCTTATTTTTTGAATTCTCATGTGATTTGATGTGTCAAAAGATGGGTTTGCAATCTCCAGAACCGGTGGACCGAATCCAAAAGAATTAAATAGCGTCAAATGGGGCCACAAGAAGAAGAGTAAAACAACAGAACAAATCATGCAGAACAGAAGTGTCCTTTGAAATTTCCATCAGAAAATCTGGATGTTCCCTACCTGATCCTTCCCTTGCGATGCTGTGGCATTTGCGACGATGACGGTGCCGATAGCAACAGCAGCATCGGTAGTGCGATAGAGCTGGAACTCCGCCAGTGTCAACAGCAGTCAATTGTTTATCGCTAGATATGACCACTTTGATGGAACCGCCTTCGTTTAGGAGAAAATCTAGGAAAACATCGGTTTGTTTTGCAGAAAAAATCCCAGTACCAAAAGAAAACAAAACATAACCTCGAGTAGAACAGCTGTCAAACTGGTTTGGCACAGTGCTTGCCTTGATCCAAATTTAGTTCAAAATAGATCAAGAATTATACTGGTTTAAAAAAATTACATTTTAGAACTAGTCTAAAACAAAATGTAGACCGCCGGTGCAAGAGCTCAGTCTGGATCTGTTCCAAAATTTTAGACCAAATCAGCTAATAGGACCGCCGCTAAAGATGCCCTAAGTACTAAGAACTTTTTCATTTTCGCTTTGTAAAACGGTCGTTAATGATTTATTCCGACAAGTTCGAACCATTTAACCCATTAATTATACCAGCCTAGTGAAAAGAGGCCAAATCAGGCCAAAACAGAGCTGGAGTGTAGTGGCTTCTGATGAATGGTAGCAACCGCCTTCGCAAACATTATTTCTTGTACACATCTTTGTTGATAGTGCCGGTGAAACTTTCGGATTTCCGGCCGCAACTACATATGACCTGCCAAACCAAATACTTTTTAAGGAATTTTGAAAGTCTGGAAACACTCGGCAACGGCATTTCTTTGAATTGCAATACAAAAAGTCAAACCCGGAAGCTGTTGAAAGTCTTCGAGCACGTATGTTTCGTCGTCCATTATGCTACAAGAAATTTTTTGCAATGCTCCTTAGCACCAATTTTTGCAGAGAAACTTTGCTTATCATTACGATTGGGCACCTTTTTCACTTTGTACGCCTTCAGCCCATGCCTCTGCTTCACTTTTTGTACATATGATTTTGATTTTCCAACTTTGCGAACCACATTACGAACTGAAAGGTTTGGATGTTTCTCAAGAATGGTCACCACCTTCTGGTCCACTTGTCGAGAGCAATACTCTTCAATTTGTTACGCTTTCAACCTTCCGATCCACAGTTAAGCGATGGTCAAACGATTTACACACACTAAACACGGTACTCTTCGGCAGTTTTAGCTTTTAGGCGAGATCGCGTACCCGACAACGTTGGATTTTGACTGCCGTTCGTACAAAATGCGTTTGCGTACTTCCACTCGATTCGAAGCATTGGGCGATCTTGGATCAATCTTTGGCAGATCGATCTTTTTCATCCCGAATTCCGATTCTTTGTTCACGAAAAGATCGAAATTAATGATTAACCAGTTTCGAGTTTTGGCAAGTACCAGTTATTGATTGTTTGTCTGATTATGCAATTTCGTTCGATTCCATACATTGTCAATATTTCGTTCTACAGTTTATTTCGATTGCACGGAGAAATTTCAGTTTGTACTGTTGCAAAACCCGCAGAGGGACACTCACCTTCGATTTTGGTACCACGTCTTGACCTGGGTGTCACTCAGGCCCAGCTTGTTCGCCAGCTCCATCCGGTCCTGCACACTCAGGTACTTCTGCCGCTCGAAGCTCTTCTCCAGCGTCTGCAGCTGGTGGTCGGTGAAGGCCGTGCGTGCTTTCCGCTGCTTTTTACTCAGTCCCGACGATCCGCTCAGGCCCATTCCATTCTTTATGCTATTGCCGTCCTCGTCCTTGCCACCTGAGGAAAAAGGAAGAACAAAATCGATTAGATTCCCATGCAAAACCCAAAACATCCAAGCAGGCCAATGAAGTGAAAATTGTAAAATCATTCAAATACTTAACTAGAGAGCGAGCTTTGACACATTTCATTCATTTTTAATAGACTTCGACTCTCGATGGTCCGGAGCAGAAAAAAAAGCGAGCAATTAATCATCTTTCGTGACTCACTCCTTCCTCCTCCGGACCGGGATTCGATCCGGCACCACGCTGGAACTCGAACCGAGCAGAGGGATATCAATTATGTGAGAAACGGGAGTGATAGTGCAGTTTTTCTGCGCTGCTTGCCCCTTCGTTCTTGCTAGAGCCTGTCTTAATTATGCTTTTAAATATTTATAACAATAATAACAATCAAACACATTGAGCACAAAACCGCGCCAGGAGGTAAGCGAGTGCTTGCTACCGTTGCGCGCACATTCATTGTTGTTGATAGCTCATTGTGACATTTAAAAATCTATTAGGCTGCATTACGTCAGCGCTTTTCGATCAGCGCGGGGCTCCTGCTGGGTCCCACCGAAGCCACCGAGTGTGTGGAAACCGGGGAGTGCGGATTTCCTCTTTCATCGAGAACCGGTTATAGGAGGGGAGCGGGAAAAGATCGCGCCCGATGAGCGCGCTAGCGAATCACGGATTTCTCAGCCGAGTAGGCCGGTCAAAACAATAGGTCATAATCAGCTTTCGCACCTCTCCGAAATGTTATTAATTGGGGCCTTTTCACTTTCGGCGCTCTAATTGAGTTGGTACAAGTCAGCGCTAAGTAGCAAAAAATGGAGGTAGTTTTGTAACAGTTGAAAAATTTGAGTACAAATTTGAACTTTATTCAAATCTTATTCATCGGACGAGCTCGAGGTCGGATTTTCATAAATTTTCAGTTGGAAGTGATTTTCCCCGCATCAAAGTAGTCATAATTCATTGGGTAAAATACGGGCATTCGAGGGGTGCTTCGACGGAAAGTCGGCAATAAAAAGCTTGAGTGCACCTAAATGCCTACTCAGGCCGGACCTTTGCCAAGCTAACGCTTAGAAAGGAGGGGGTTTTGAAATTAGCATCTAATCTGAAAGGCTAACAGCCATCAAATTATCATAGCACTCTAATCTAACGCTTAATTCAACACCTGTTTATGCTGTTTAATGTGAGGTAGACTACTCGGTACCCCTCGGTCGATCACACATACTCATAGTTGTTAACCCAGCCCGGCCCAGCTAGAGATATAGAGAGAGAGAACACACCGGGCAGAGTTAATCTTTCGTAACTGAGTTATGTAGATTGCAGGCTGCTTGTGAAACAAGCCATTTAGCACCGACTACAAAAGTCTAATTGACGTTTCGATTCACTGCCGCCATCGTCGCCACCGCCTCAACCGCAGCTGCACTACCGACGCCATCTTGGCGGCGGCGGCGGTGACCGTTACTCCCTAACGAAGTTTTCATTTAATTAATACAAATTGCATGAAATCGCGATTTTGCATTCCGGCGCAAACGAAAAAAAAAATCTTTATCATGACTTGTCCAATCAACCCTACTACGGACTGCGGTGCTGCTGCTATGCAGTTTGATGCAACCCTGCGAAACGTCAAACTGAGTCGACGTGATGGCGACGAGGGGTGCGCGCACACAAGTTAAAAAGAAACAATTTTCTTCGTTCCTCGTCGGTGCTTCGCTGACTGTCGCTTTGCACCGCATATCAGCAGCATCCATGCCAGCGTCCGAACAGCGCCGAGCGGAAAATCACTTAAGCTAAAAATTATCATCATTTTGTCATGTCATGTCGGAGTAATTATAGTTTTATTGATTTGCAACCATACACATAATAATCATTTATATTCTTTCTTCGCGGGCTTGAAGGATTTCGCTGCAGCTGCTGCTGCAGCGAGCAAAAATTCAAAGCTTATTAATTGTATTTCTCCATCATTCGACGGACGCGGTGACCGCAGCCAATCATGCAACAACGGTGGAGCAAAAACAAAACCGAACCCGCAAAGCGCATGAATTTTAATTGAACGCGAATAATATCCGTTATTTCGACTGATCGCAGCTCCAGCAGCACATAATCTGAAAATCATGGACCACTCAAAACTGGCCAATCTCCGAAGCGCTCCGGAGTGGAGCGAGCCTTGTTAATTCGAACGTGTGCGCGAGCCAAACGAGCGCCTACTTCGGTTGCTAATGTCAGTCTGCATTACCGTCATCATCTTAAGGAGCCGGAGCCGGGCAGAGGTTGGCTGCCATCAAAGTATGTGTGAAAATTACCGACCTAATCACACGCGTGCATACACTGCGACCGGGACCGCTGCTCTCTTGGTTATGTTTACAAATCCATTAACGTCACCGTGTCGTCAGCAACGGATGGTTGTTGTAATGTGCCGCACCATTTACCAATACCGATACTGCTGAGTCTCGGCGGGTATGGTGTGTGAGGTTGTAAAGTTGTCGGTAAACTACATACTCTGCGGAACGCCAATCTGATTACCATTATCTTCCGCCGTTGGATGATTTGGTTGATGATGATTGCAGTTGCGGTCCGGCCACCAACCACCACCTCCGACCGCGTCATAAAGCATTTCAAACGATATGTCATCGTATTATGGAGCAAATCGAGGCCTGATTATGGCAGTGAGTGGAACTAGCTTTTAGCGGTAATCTGGTTTCTGTACATACTTGTTTGAGTTAAGTCTTAGAGCAGAGAACGGAATATTTCCATCTTCAGCCTGAAGCGCTACTCGAGGTTCATGCAATTTTCCTTCAAAGGTCTCGGAAGGTATTGCATTTCCTGAAATTAATCCTGTTAACGACATCTTTCCATCTCGTTGCAGTACACTTCCATCTTCACCTTAAAACCCATTTCACCTTAACGATCAATTAACCATACCTGGGTGCAGTCGAATTCTACGTTTTAGTTGGGCTCCCGTCAGTTGGGTTGTAGCCCACCTCAATCGAAGACAAACGTCATTTTGATGATAATAATCAATCGGTGTATCCCTTAACCAATTTTCAGCTTGACAGCTTAGCCCAACTAACGAAAGCCTTTCAGTAAGGCTCTGAACCATTTGGTGGATTATTTTAACTTTTGGTTAAAATTTGACAGATGGAAAGTTATCGATTAACCCTGCTATCCGAGCGTGGTTATTTCTGACAGACAAGAAGTTAAATTTTGACGACCGTAGCTCGAAAACCGGTCGATCGACAGCACGGGGATTTTCGAACATAGAAAATAACTTTCGAAATGTCACTTTTAACCACGAGTTAAATTTAACTCAGCAAATGGTTCACAGCCTAAGTAGGCTATGTGTTTAGCCCTAACGAGTGAAAGTTGACTGTACTACACTGAGGCAAGTAAACTTAACAATACCATAAGAACCACTTTGAAACATTATTGATTAGTCAAAACAATGAAATTCATAAGTCAGCTTATCAAACTTAGAATGGTATTATAAAATAGAGCAGAATGGATTCGAACGTTGGGCGATCAGATTATTGAGTCCGTGATTTGCGCTCACGTCTATCAACGCTTGGAAAATCAGATAGGCTATACACGCTTTTTTGAGGCTACTCATGTTTGAGTCGAAAATCACTCAGTACAGACAAAAGAATCTGGGTTGATCCCACTCATCGGAGCAAAACCAGTTTACTCATTTTTTGACAAGCATGCAAAAATGAGTGCGATCACCCAGTCACTGAATAGCCTCGAAATAGCGTGTAGACGTATAACAACCACCTAGTGTACTATGGAATTTATAAGTGTATTATAAAATCAAAATTGTGTAGGTTCATAAGTCATGCCTTATGTAATTCTTAAGTTTATTTGCTTCAGTGTACAGGAAAAATCCGGAAGATCTGTGTTGCGTTGCGTTGCGTTTGTAACGGAGTAATTCGTAGATTGCATACTGGCAACTTTCATGTATCTACTTTAACGTTCTTAGTGTGAACTCCTGGTTAATTTGGAGCACTTAGAACGTGTTGCAACCAAGAAAATTCATTTTTAATTATCAAATTGGATCTAATTGACATAGCAGTGCATGATCCGTTGCTAAAGATATCGTCCAGATTGAAGTCTGTGGTTCATAAGGTTTTGAAGATGTAGGCCTTTGAGTTTGGCTATAAACTGGTGCATTCATATTTTTCCTGTATAGCTCACACCAACAACTACAATTTTTCTGCAGAAAGTAAAGACTGTACTCGAAAAAAATGAGACACATTGATTAGTTTGGAACTTTTAAGCGTGTAGGAAACAATGGATGAAGTTTTGACTGAAACTAGCTAAGAGTGTAATGTTTACGGTTTCAAAATATCATCACAATCTGTCAAGTGGATATCGCGATGACATCGGAACAAGTGGGTTCAATCCCAGCCGAGGTCGGTGAGGTGTGGAAGCTGCCTTCCTGCACATTCAATTGCCGTCAATGGATGGCAATCGATGTCCGTCGTTGATTGGCACTAGATTGCGGAACAGAGACGTACGTTAACTAAGAAAGAAGGAGAAGGAGCAAAAATCTTGTGTACCATCGTGAAAAATCCGACTGCGTCCCACAGATGGATCGGGAAACACCTGGGAATCCATAATTCGACGATATCCCGGCTGGTAAAGTCATTCAAGGAGATCCAGATGACCCAGCGGTGGGCAGGATTCGACAGAAAACCGAAGACAGCTGACCCGGTGAAGGCCAGGAAGGTGTTGAGTCAGTTCAAGCGTTGGCCGAATCTTTCGGTCCTCTATGCGGCGATGAAGCCGGAAGTTACCATCTGGTTTGTCCAAAACACGATGAAACGTGCCGGCATCCACGTCTAAAAGGTCCGAAAGGCACCAAACCGGAACGACAAACAGAACACGGTGGCCGAAACCCGCATCAGGAAGCTGTACCGGGAGTGGCTGACGAAACCGAGGTGCGCCGTAATGGATGACGAGACTTACATCACAAACGAAGTGACAGACGGAGCGGCTCGAAAACTTTGGTGACGCACCTGC